GTAGGGCATGTGCACTCAGCAGAAAGACAGAGAGAGACAGAGACAGAAAGCAAGAAATCACCCCTGGGGCAATGGCCATGCCGCAATCCCTTCTCCTCCATTCTTCTTTCAGGATCTTGGGCATGCACGCACATGCGCCTGATGTGAGTTTAAGCCAACGGGTCTGGGACTTGAACCATGGTTGACTACATGGGAGTCTAGCAACATAACCGTTACACCAACTGCTGGTCCCCATTTGTAGGTATTTTCAAAAAAATTACCTTTAAATCAGGAAAATATATAATTATGTTTAATATTTATAAGTCATTATAAATTGACATTGTTAAAATCAATTATATTGGATAAATTATTTAGAAATTGACTTCTTGGAACCAGCAATTGGCTTAAGCCACCAGGTCCAGGACTCGAATTACGCTCTGCTAGGTGGGAGTCCAGTGACATAGCCATTGCACCAACTGCTAGTACCGAAACTCTTTTTTAATAAATCACCCAGTCTCAGGAATCTCTCTTTAGCAATCCAATGATAGACTGATACAACAGTCATACAGACCAGCTATTAAGTCACAGATTGGGAACAAATACACTGCACAGGTGCAAAATAAAGTTTACACAGAACTACAAAAATTCTTACAGAACAAAATCGATACAATGCTATAGTCCTTTAGGTTTCTCCATTTCACAGAAAAAGGTATGTGGACTAGGTACTCTAGGTGATTCTCCAGAAGACAATCTCTTCTGTAGCAGAGGGCTGTGGTCACTAGATCTTTTGATCCTATTCAGATAAGGCCCTAGAAATGGAAGGAACATTCTGTCATTTGACTTTCTCCTATGGAGAAATAGCTAATCACATTGATCTAGTATAGTTCCACTGAATAAAACTCATTGCTAAGCCACCTCAAAGCACTGAATGGAGAAAAGTCATCAAATATATTCAGAAGAAACAATAATCTTTCTCTTCTCCATAAAGTATTACCACAGGTTTCAGCTTAAGTAGAGAGGAGGAACACTGGGGATCAGAAATATCAATACAAAGAGGTCTATGGACATGTGGCTGGCTTAACTGGTTGTTGAACTTTTTAAGAGTTATGATAATAGTGATTACAAACTAAATTCATTAAATTAAAAAAATTTAAAGAAGATACTGTTCAGGTATTCAGCTTTAGTTAATAAAATGTGGTGATAATTTATGGGATGGCCCCATAATGCAGTGGATAAGCCCTGTGCATAGAGAGCCAATTCCACATGGCAGACCATGGTTCAAATCTTGGCCTTGGTGGCTTGAGAAACATAACAGGGGCATGTTCAAAATCCTGACAGGATAGAGAAATACAGGGGGAAAAAAATGCTTCCTCTTTCTCTGGATAGTACACATGCCCTTTGGGAATAATAGTTTAGAAAGAAGTTATGATTTGGACTTATAAAGATTTAAACAAAGAGGGGCAAAATTAAAATGAAAAAAAACATCTTGGGTTAGAATAGAGAATTGATGGAAACATTCAAAGAAAAAGCCCAGGGACACGAAAGATCTTTCTGATGTCAGACTGAGATTCACTAGTGGACATATTTGTTCTGCATGGATTCAGGGGGAGGTCAGGGATTCTCCAAGCCCATAGTTATAAGAATCACAGTTGTGGTAGATGACTGGATGGGCTGAGTTTCTCAGCGGGTCTGGAATGTGTAAAGATGTGAACCATGATGGGACTGAAATGCTTGGTATTTAAGTTTTCTCAATTCCTAACTATAGCTTCCTTTCCAGGTTATAAGTGCAAACCCTTGGTTTTGAGGTCTGGATAGAGATAGTCATAATACCAGCATGTAAAAGCTGTTGTGTAAAAAATTTTAGTTTTAGTTGGAAAGATAGTAAACAGGGCTTAGCAGGAGCAGATGGTAGTTTTAGATTCCAATTCCTGCGTAGTCTTATGAACGGTGTCATAGCACTGAGAGCTTCTGTGGCAGGATTATCCCAGCACAGTATCCATGAACCAATGGCCTATGTAAACACTGCAGGACTGACTATCCATAAAACCTCACTTAAAACTAATGTTTATATTATTCATTAACTTAATTCCTTCTCTTTTCTATTTTAGTACAAGATAAACTAACATTCTGTCTACTTTACATTTTTCAATATTTCCCAAAATACGCAAAATAATTATTATATAATGGAATAATGTTTATAATAATAAAATGCCAAAAAGGGAGTGTTCCACCTAGCCGGGGTACAACAGTAATTTTGAACACCTTTATTTGGGTGGAGTCCTCCAGTGTGAAGATGTGTTATATTAGAAGAAGAAGAAAAGAAAAATAATCCGTAACATATATTTTTTGGAAGAGGTAATACCTCTTCCAAATAAAGAACCAAGCAACTATGAAAAAGTTGGGTAACTCCATGACCTGGTAGATAAAGGAGTTGAATTTCACATGACCGACCACAGAGTTTGAATCTGGCCACTATGGCTTGAAAAAAACACACTGGGCCCATATGCCTACATGCCTCAAATCCTGATAGTATGGAAAAATTGAGGTGAAGGGATTGTGGTATGACCACATCCTATTGGAGATGTTTTCTCCCTCTCCCTCCCTCTCTGTCTCTATTCTGTCTCTCCATAGCCAAGCACATGCACCCTCTGGCAAATTAAAAAAGAAACAAAAAAGGATTATAAAAGCTAATTCAAACTGGGGAACCAGCAGTTAGCGTAATGGCTATGTCGCTGGACTCCCACGTAGTCGACCGCAGTTCGTGTCCCGGACCCGGTGGCTTAAAAAACTCACGCCGGGCGCGTGTGCGGGCGTGCCCAAGATCCCGAGAGGAGAATGGAGGAAAAGGGATTGCGGCGTGACCATCCCCCCTGGGGGGTGATTTCTCGCTTTCTGTCTCTATGTCTCTCTCTGTCTATCTGGCGAGCGCACGCGCCCTACAGTGAAAATCTCTCAAAAAAAAAAAAAAAAGCTAATTCAAACTGAAGAGATTCAGAAAACCACTTCAAATAATATTTAACATTTATTGTTAATGAATTTTTATGTCTAAATACTTAGGAAGAAGAAATATATTCCTATTAATATAATTAATGATGATGATATTTTTGTACAAACCTGTTTGTGAAGTATTCATATCCATTACTATAAGCATTAAAAACTGTTTCTATGTGATAGCAAATGCTACTTGTATTTAAAATACAATCTGGAAGGTATACCCATGATATAAAAGAATTTTCAATAGTCTCAAGGTTTAAATGCTTTGTTTTCAAATACTTCATAGTACTACTACAAAGGAGAGAAGATTCCTGAGATACTAGCCATTTTTTACTTGGCAACACTTTCCCCCTTTTTTCCTAGGAGTAGTAAAAACTACTTCAAATCAGGTTATAGAACGCCCCATTGGATTGTGGAGTTCACACACAGCAGTCTTCCCCTGTAGTTAGTTTTAGTGGGAAATAAATAAATGTATGTGGCATTAGGGATTTAAAGTTTTCATTTTTGAATATTTACCTTAAACTATGATAAAATATTTTGTTTTGGTCCTTTTTCCCACATTATATACATTACTCTATTTCACTATTAACACAGAAGCTTCTATAATATATGGTTTTATTTATTGGAACAAGTAGACCTGGAAGAAAAAAGTTGAAAGGATCCTGTGAATTTTAAATGAAGTGTCTTTGCCTCGAGAAAACTCTCTAGCCTCCATGAAGAATTCTCTAAGCTGTCTTAGTCACTGGAATCCGTCTAGTCCTGGGAATATGCATAAAGCTTTATTTCTTCTTTCTCTTTCTTCACTCATAAATGGACAAAATGAGGTCCCTTTTTTGCCTGCCTCCTACGCTTGGAATCCACAATTTTTTTTAAAACTAAACACTCCAAGTTTGATCACTATACATTACTAGTGTCACAGTTTTATTTTTGGATATGTAAAGTTGTATTTTCCAAGCATTTGTTCGTCGTTTTAAGAAATAAATTTCCATAATGCACAAGTCTCAGATAGGCAGTTCTATTATCTGCACTTCATGAGTAAGCTTTACCATTGGGAAATAAACAAAAAAAAAAAAGTAGAATTTTCTTTTTTCTTTTGTCAGTTTTCCTTTGAAGCATCAAATAGGATATTGACATTTTTGGCACTTAAGCTATTTACTTACTGTGACTTAAGGAGCTGTTATAAAGTGAGCCATATTCCCACCGTGCATTTCATACAACTATCACTAGAACTTCTTTCAGAAGGATTTATGTGCTAATCGATACCTTTTGTATTGTGCCATTTCCAGACGTAATAAAGACCTCTCTGAAGCCAGGTCTACCCTCTTCTAAAAGTTGTACAGTGTACAACAGAGACTCTAACAGGTGGCTCGCGTAGCTCTTGTGATGCAGCTCTGATCACCGCTATGTCTGAGCATTTCCAGCTAAGGTGAAAAATCCCTCAACTGCATATCAAGCAAAAGGCAAACTGTTTTACAAATTTGAAAATATCATCGAAACTATTTTCTTCACTGAAAAAGAAATGATGATCGAGGCATTAATTATTCGATGTTTTACAGTGACTATTTAAAATATTATTTTAGATTATCAACTCATAGATACCGATACAAATTCATCATCATCAATAATAAATATAATCTGGATTCTTTCCTCTTCCTTTTATTAAGCTGAAATTTTGGCATTGAACTGAAATAGGTAGTAGTGCATTCTGCAAGGACTATATACACAAAATTCCTTTTGAGCAACGGTACTCTCCAAGTGACATGTCTTTTCCACAGATGATTTACAGGTTACAGACGTGCTGTGACCTTTCTCTCCCACTTGCAAACAGATTAAGCAGAGCTGATTAAGCGACACTAAAAACACTGGATTGTTTCATTTTCTGGGGGTCTTTGACAAAGCCCTCCTCTCTGAGCCCTCCCACTTCATTCGCTTGCAAATCACTGTGCCCAAAGAGGTCTTCGCTCCCCCAACCCAGACCTGGAGCCCTGCAGCGCCATCAGTGGCAGTATCTTCCTACTTGAGGGACGTCTCTTATTAATCAGAAACGCTGAATGGAAACCAATCAGATAGAGAGTTCCTTTAGCTTCAGCTTCCTGCCTGTCTGAGTTAAAAGTGATGCTCGAGGAGAGAGACACACTGAGATGCATGAAGATTCAGCTGTGAAGATACTATAAAAAGAGAAGCGAAGGAACGAGACAGAAGCAACAACCGGATCGTCAGTGCTGAGCAGGGCGAAACTCAGTTCCATTGAACAAGGTAAGTGTTATTTACTTTGCTTGACACCATGAGCTTTTCAATTTTTGCTTTCTTATAAAGAAGTAGTGCACATACTGCTTTTCTCCTAGTTGCTCTATTTTTTTTTTCTGTCTCTCTCTACATTTGGAAACAGGTAAGAATACATTTTATAGTATTTAAATAAAATATTAAAATGCTCAATGGCAAAACTTGCAACCTTTGCCTCTCATTTTACTTTTACAAATCTGACGACCACTCCAGCTCCTTGTATAGTCCTCACATTTGCATACAAATTATTATAAAATCAAACTGAACTTCAAGTTGTATTAGTTAATTGTGAAGGCTTTGAATGTCTCACATATTAATATGTTTATGATATTATTACATTAATTACAAACGGATTTCTGGTTTTCTCATAACTTTTGTTTACATCATTTGAGTCAGAACTGCAGAAAAAGCCATCTCTAGAATTCAGTAAGTGATATTTAAAATTTTGATGTTAAAAATAATAGAATATAAACTGTACTAATAAGATATGACTGGATACTGGATGTCAGGATTAAATTGATCTTATTACCTGGTAAAGGAGATTGTTCACATATTTGTGGTACTCAACTCAAGTCAACATTCTGAATGTGTACATGTGTTGGCTATAATTGGGCTCTAATATTGTGGATAGGTGAATGAAAACCACAGGGAAAAAAGAGGCAAAATTGTATATTAAAATAAATTGAAGTGATATGGAAAGTGCATTGATTTGATGGTGCTTTGTTTTGATATTTTTTTCCATTGCACACTCAGTATATCTGTTCCCATCAGTGAAATTTTTACAAGCACATTATTATCAAAAAGACTTGATACATTTTAACCATAAGGACATCAAAAATTCTATGGTATTTGCAGCCGTATTGTGTTAACAGAACAAAGTTCTTAGAATCTGTTTTAAATAACAAAGGTGCAACAAAAGAAAAGTTATCAACTGTCATAGATAAGTTTATATTTATTTGCATGATCAACTTTTTGATGAGAATATCATAGATTGTGAAGAGAGGGTTGTCTTGTCTGGAGATTTAATATCATAGATTGTAAAGAGAGGGTTGTCTTGTCTGGAGATTTGTCTTATTTAATATTTTATGTTGTAGACACATGAGATTCCTAATAAAGATATTTTTCACAAGGTTTCTGAAATCTGTGTGTCATTTAAGAATGAGTGATACTATGACATTAAAATAAAGTGTTAACTTTTGCATGACAGAAAGAAATCTCCTTTGGCTGTCTTTGTTTTCTCTGTGAAATTAGAGTAGTTACCCACGTTCAGCCAGAGCTGATTAAGGATGAATTTGATTATTCGATGTCCTTAACTCTGTAAAAAGCATCCTGCATTCCAACGAGGACCAATCCTGTTTTCAGATTCAGACAGTGCTCTATCACCCAGGCAATATTAGGTCATGTGAAATACATGTGTGTTACTACAAAACTGGTTCTCTTGGGTTTGAATGGTAGATCTTCCCAAAGAAAAAGAAAATGCAACAACATACTATTCTAGCACATAGCACCAAAAGACTTGAACATAACATGAACAGCATGCATTTGCATTTTTGTCACCAAACATATTATGGGTTCATCTAAAGTTTTTCCAAATGAAGAGCACACACATAACTATATGCACCAAATAGATATATGCTAACATGTAGAAATACTGTCATATCCACATTTATGTGTTTTGAAAAATGAGAAAATTTAAGATAAAATACGTGATATGGGCAAAGCTAATTCTGGAAATGATGAACAAAGATGCTTTAAAGAGAACAGATAATAATGTTAATTTAAAAGTAATTTACTAACTGTAAATCAGATTTGGTAGTATGAATAAAGCAATAGTCATATAAAACAGTAGTGCTTTCTAGGACAAAAAAGACATTTTTCTTTGTAATTTTTTAATAGTTTACAAACTATTTCAAATGGTTTACATAATTATGCATCCATTGCATAACTGAAAAAAAGTATATCACTGCCGTGTGTAACAAGATCACATTATCAAAGGTGATTTTGAAGTTATGTTTTTAAATGTTGTTGCTTGGCTTATTTAAATTTTTAGCTGGATGAGATGCTATACCAAATGTCACACTGCATGGAAAGATTTCATTTGGTATTTTCCCATAACTACTATACATGCCAACCTTAACCTATACAACGTACTTTCCATGACATATTCACTAGGTGAGATTAAAGAAAATAATAAGAGGGTTTTGTTCCAGTGTTTTATTTCTCTGTAGGCATCAGTAGTGATATGGGATATACTCTACCCACAGTATTTCTGTAGTGTATGAGTGTAGTTAATCACACTGTTTGGAGACTGCTTAAAGTTACATAACATAAAATGAGTAATGTGACAATGTTATATGTGAGAAAGTATAAATTATGGTAAAAGTTAATATAGTGTACATGCTAATGGACCATGAATAAAAATTAGTTGGAACTTATTCTCTCTGAAAGTAAACAGTTTAGATAGAGCTTTTTTTAGCATTAATACAGAGGCTTCGATGTAACTGATTGTTATCTGGCTACATTCCTGAAGGCTAATTTTATTCACTCTCACATTTGGGAGGAAAGTGTGACATTTTAAAAATGTCCAAAGTAAAATTTTTAAATATTTGTATTTCTGATATTTGACTTCAAATCAAATAGTAATATTAACTGTAAAGTAGGTAGTATTTTGTCATTAAATGTCTTGGTTGTTTTAGGTATTAAATTCTCAAAGTGGATTTTTTTAAGGAAGAAGAGGACCTGCTAAATAGAAAGAAAAATAAGCTTAAAATTGGCATTGTTATATTTTACCTGATGCAAATTAATAAATATTATCATTTTATTGTAGAACATAAGTCATGTTTTCTAGGATAAGACTATTTCTTTTTATCTTGTATATTTGTTTTTAGGTTGTCTTAGGTTTTCAAATATATCCCAGGTAAGTCTGTGAATATCCATACTGTCATCTTGTTTATGTGTTTACATGAAATTCTAGAGCTTCAGAAAAGAGATTTTAACTCCTCCAAATTCTCATTTTATACATAAGAAAACTAAAACTTACAAAGAACAGGTTATATAGCCAAGGCTGTCAAGCCGTATATGAGAAATTTGCAACCTGTGTGCAAACATCAGGGGTTCAGGCTTGAAAGTTAGGTGAAGAAGGCACATGGACAGATAGATTACATAGATAGATGATAGGGAGGTAGATAGATATAAATAGATAGGAAAGATAGGAAAATGATAAGAAAACAATGACCCCCAGATTGTTTTAAATATCCTGAAAGTTTTATTTCTTTTATCAATCACTACAATTTCTCTGTGTAGAGCCACCATTATTCTCATGATTAAATACGGTAAGAAGTGCACAGAAAAGAGTGCCTCTATTGCACTTTTCTATGTTTCGATAGCAGCTCTAATATTAATGTACTTATTCTTAAATTTAGCACTAGTAGGAGATGGTCTTCTAGCCACATTACACTTGCTAAGTGCTTGACTAAACACAGGGTTTCTAGAGCCTAACCAAGAGATTTTATTTTAGCACTACCAAGAAACACCTATTAAAATACACAAGTCATGATAATGGATCTTACTGTCTCTGAAGAGAAAATGAAAGCATCATGAGCTATTGTCAGGGCCTGTGTGTGTATTTCCTCTTTTCTTTTTTTAGAGAGAGAGGTGGGGAAAAGGAGAGCTGAATATTTTCTTAAAGTGACATTCTGGTTTTTCTTGTTTCTTTCCTAGTCCATTAATTTGGCTAATTACAAATCAATTTCAGAAAGAGTGGAGGCTCTTGCAGCCTCTATTTCTCTTGATGAGCAAGACAATTCTTGGTCTTTCTAATTAATCAATGAAACATGAGAGCCTATGATTGCTCCATAAGTATGGATTATATCAGCTTTTGAGATTAGCAGCACTGTTCTGAATGGCATGAATGACTTCATTTTACTTTTCACTCTAAACACGTATTTCAAGTTACAGTGAAAACATCAGTCACTAGTAGCTATTATTTGAACTTTGAATTTAAAAGTTTACCATGTTCCTAAATGTATTGGAATAAGCGGATATAGCTGACAATTTTTATATTGGAATATACTGTACTTTCTATACTTTATGTATTATTAACAGAGTATTCAATGCATAATAGACCTTTTCTTCATATTTAGTAAAACAGGATCTTGGGACAGGAGCCAGGTTTACATGGGAGACAACTAACTATACATATAATGGTGTTTAATCCAGTCAAATGAGCACCAATAATTCACTTCCTGGGTCAAAAGGCATGATATTTATATCAGTGCCTAAATTTCTCAAAGGAAGTTTTCCTCCAGACAGTCAAGCAACTTCTTTATCATATATATATATTTTTTTTTCCTGTCAGAGCAGATTACTATAATCACTTCATATAAATATTCACATCTAAGTGTTATAAATATTTCATACTACCAAGATCGTATGAGACATTCAAATTTCTCTTTGACCTAATAGTGACTAAGTCACAGATGAAACATTAAAGAAAATAGAATTAAATTATCGAATAACATCTTTATTTCTGTATTATCTTTTTCTGCATATATATTTTTATGTCTTCGTTTATATTTCTGTGTATTCATAGCATAGGCACGTGTATTTTTGTATACCTTATATACCTAAGGAAAATAGAAAAGAATAACAACCATTTCAATGTATAAATTAATTTTAAGGCTTTAATTAGTGTAATGGTGGAGTATGAAGCACTAAAATACTTATATCAGGCAATTATAGTTATTATATACATGACATAACATTATAAATATAAAAGCATTAAATAAGAATCTAGTGGAATTTCTGACAATATGAGGAGTCTTTGAAAAGTTTATAGGATATGTCTACTATGGAAAAAAAAGTATATGTCAACATTTTTTGTGCCAAAATAAATTTATGCTAGAATTCTTTTCTTTGAACTTTTTGAAGCACCCTTATTTGTAGAAAAATGCAATAAAAGTATGAGTTTAACT